CATAAACTGAACACAAATCCGATTTCCTTAACAAAAATTTGTGGTTTCTTCCTCGTTACTCAGAAATTATAACAGTTAGAAGGCTGCAATTTTCCACATTTACTTTACGAAACACTTTACTTCCTACGTGAAAAAACTGATAAAATCGGCCGAACCCACGGAAAGTTACAAAAGATTAAATTTTATTTTTTTTTTTACCTTTTTAAGGTTTTATGTTTATTTTTCACAACGCAAACAAGATAGAATTTTTAGAACTATTTTGTACATTCCTCAAATGAGGTTAAATTATCTGCCTAAACCGGATTAATCCTAAAACGAATATGGAAGACACTGCAATTAATTTTTTCTTAATAATACCAGCACCACGGGTATCAAATAAAAAAAATTGGAGAGAGGAATGCGAAAAGCATAGTGGTAGGCATGTGAAATACGGCCCCCGCCGAATTTATATTCTTACTTATCTAATTTATATTTCTTACTTGTTTTTGATTTCATATTGAATTAATATTTGGGCTACATTAATAATAAGCTATCACTGTTATATTGTTATAACAAATCGAATACCAATATCGAACATTCTCCAACACATCCATTATCTTTGTGAACTACGATAAAGATCGCTTCAAAACATTTGCAAGTAGAAATGCAATGGGTCTAAAAACAACTCTTCATTCACATGCCCAGCTATATTGACAACAGTCATATTGTGGCCGTCTTGAGATTTGTATTTGCATCAAGTATTGCTCTGCTTGAACTCATTATTTTCATTGTACCTTCAGTAGACTCGTTACAAGTATTAGTGGTTATTTGTTTTTATATTTTTTTCTTTTTGACGTGCTAAAACTAAACACGCTTTCGTGTATAAATGTTACTTGTTTATACTTTCTCTTCCATTTTACGATTGTAGTTTTTTCATTGTTCTTTCTAACGTAATTATATTTTATTTCCTTCCCGACGTACCTTACTTGTTCTTAAATTCAAACTAGCTTTACTATTGTTAAAAAAAGCAGGTTTTACGATTATAACTTTTGCATAAATTTGGTTTTACAAAAGCGTTCATGAATAAAATTACCGGCTTGCTACTTTGTTGTGCATGCAGCTGCAATTAAGTTAACTCGGGCATCAATTCTGCGAATGATTATTTTTGTGCTCGCGTGAGGAAGTTGATAGTTATTAATAAATCATAATACCGATATGTTTTCGGAAGTTACTACTTGAAACTTTAGTTTATTAGTGAATGCATCAGCATAATCACTTCGCATGCAAGCTGTACATGATTATTCGAAAAACTGTCCCATGATTTTTTTAAAAAAAGCGTAGTACTTTGAAAAGAGATCTCTAACAAAAAAATTCTTTCTTTCTATATCTTCAAAGCGACTTTAAGAGTGATGTTTATACTACGTATTCTGAGACTAATATTTTCATGTCGTACTCCGCAGAGGAGGTTTTTTAGCTTATACACGATTGTTTCGTCTGCCGATTGAAGTCATTATTATAACTTGAAACTTCATACTAAAATATTATGTATATTAAAATTAAAAAATCTTAACAATAGATTAACGCATAAATAACAAAATGTTATTTGAAAAAAAATTGAAGACCTTGGAAAGAAGGAGCTCTCATTCTTAAAATAATTTAAGTATAATAATAATATTAACGAAGTTAATAATACATAAAGGCCTTTATGGCGTTAAATTTTTATAATTGCTTAAACTAAAAGGTCGCTCATTACAATATTAGTAAGACGAAGTGCGCAATATATAGATGTTAACAATAAGATCTTAACTACACGATTGACATAATAAGTAAAGGAATCTTCGCCCTATATTGTGTTCAATTGGCCTACATAACCGAACGGTTGATAGTAGCGAATAAGGCAAAATAAAGTAGTAAAAGTAAAGGGTATTTAAGATCCGCGCAAGTGGTAACGTTATTAAAAATAAATTCAATTGTGTCTCGAGCTATATGGCATTTGCCACCATCTTATTCAAACCAATTGTTGTCCACATCCGTAGCACCGTTAACTCCTCTAGCCATATTTTCGAAGAAGAACGGTTCGTTGATGCTTGGTACCGAAAGCCTCCACCCAGCAGCTACACATTGTGTATACGTGTCTCGACAATCACTCGTGGATTTTTCAGATCCCAAATGCGATATGTTTGTCGGTTAACGAAGCCAACAAAATGGATATGACTCTCACTGCTGAGTGTCCACAGTTGAGAATTGAATCTACTAATCCTTTATTATTTTTAGAATATTTGTTCCATTTTTGGTAACTTTAAACTGCCACTGTCACGCTGTTTCTTTAGCGCATAAATTGTACAAAATTGAAACCTTACACGAATACTGCGACACCTCGTACCTCTTGTATTATTTTAGCGTTGCTTTTTTGCGAGTAAGTGTTCGACAGGCCTTTGCGGTATAACAAACACTAAGTTTATTTAAAAATAAAATTCGACGTAATACTGACAGAAGCATTCATTATTGTTGATAGAAAATGTATAACTTAGAGAATCTGAACCGAGTTTGAGACTTCGCTATCCTTTTCATAATTTTGGTTTATATATGGTTGTTTTCATATCGAAATTTTTTTATATATTATTTCATTATCGCATAAATGTATAAGTATCATTGCTTCATTTATCAAAGAGTATGTAATAAATTCAATTTAATATATATATACAATAGACGATAAATTAAGGTGAAAAAAACTTTCTAACTTCCTATTATTATAAAAGAAATTATTCCCATCCATATTTAATGTTTTTAATTTTATACATACAGAAGTCTAAAAAATATTAAGAGAATTTTCTGGTAATAAAATAAAAATTGAAACATTGTGTGCGAACTGCAAATAAATGATTACAATTTTTCCAGACGTGCTGACTTAGTCATAAGCATTTCTTAATCAAATTCGAATATATTCAAACATTTTTTATGTGCTACGGCGTAAAGTAAAAAGAGAATTTTTATAAAGTGGAAGCTCATCCACAAAGTTTGAAGACATTTCTTAATTCGAAACAAAGCAAAGCAGCTGCATTTTAAAAATCAAGCAAAATTTTTAAAAAATGCCCTTATAACATCGCTCAGAGAAGTAAAAAATTGGTGGTGATTATGAAGATGATACTTTAGCAAAACCAGCAAAATCCGATGGGATTACTCATTTCCACCTGCCGCGTTCTGGTGGAAGAACAGTCAATAAGTTCGATGAAATTTTTTAAAAGTAGGCACATTTCATCTTATGACATTGCTGCGGAAATAAAACCTGAGCAAAACCCAACTAGAACTTTTTACCTAAGGCTGGGTGAAAAGAAAAAATGTACAGGACAGTTTTTGGAACAATTGATGGCGAGCGATAAAAGAGTGCGTAAAAAGAATGTGAATAAAGCTGAACCTAAAGGTGCAAAACCCTCATTCTTGGCACGCAACGTGGTTGCTTGTGTCTGGTTGTATTGGAGTGTAATCGGGCATAGTAAGATATTAGAATTTGATGAATCCGATAAGCTTTTGCTTTCTCTGCTGTCAATGCCTGGATTCATTAATTTATGTTATGGATTTTCTAAGCTGCTTTCAGTAAGCTGTGGTATTTTTGAGAATTGAAGATGCAATTTAAACTGATAACTTTTTGAATATTGTACATCTTTTTTTTTTTACCTTTATGACTATCAACATATGTCTTGATTTTCATATCTTGAACCGTCACAAACTGCAAATTTACATGTGCAAACATAGTTCTTCACCAATATTACTACATATTACTGTAATATAATAAGCGCTCTGTATTCCCTTAATAAAGAGGCCTGCTTGGCTCTGTCAAACAGTCATATAAGCAATTAAATAAATGTAGTAAAACGGCATGGTAAACTTCATTTTATTCAACCGTCATTATGCGTGTCTAAACCTATATAGTTCTTCAAAGTTTTACTGCTGTAAAGTTCTTCAATTTACAAAATTTGAAATATAATAATAAAACTTTAGAGCAGTGTCTTAACTAATTTTTGTGCATGAAGTCTAACGATAAACTAATTTGATTGCGCGCCTGAATATATTTCAAGGCGACAGACGTCCACGGTGTCTTAGATGGAACCGAAAATCGGTGTCTGAATTGAATTTAAATTAAAATTGAAAGTATGCGTGATTGAAAAGGTACTTACAACTGGAATTCCTCTATACATTTATCTTAAATGATAAGAAGTTCAACATAAGGATATATTCAACGTTCTGCTGCTAAAATCGTATTACAAGTGTTAAAAAGTAATTTAACAAAATAAAATTGATGTACCAGATGAGTAACATATTATCAAAAAAAAAAAAAAAATAGTCACCCCTGGAATTATAAGAACCTATATGCAATACCACAAGCAGCTGTATATTGTAGAAGGGGAACGCTGGCGTGTGGTATTGGAGATATAAACTCATCGAATATTATTTTCTATTACACTAGTATGGTACTGAGATACTGCTAAGATATAAACAAGGTACCTTAAAAAGTTTTCACCTCCTTCACAAACAGTTTTAATTTATCCCTATAATATACCAAATGTTTCGGAAATGTTTTCGTTCATATCAATAATTTGAAATAGTATAGAGAGCTGAAAAAGAAACGCACACGTGCAATTAGCTTAATTTTTATAGTAGATAGAAAGTTGATTGGTTATTTAAGTAACAAATAGCAAGTTTTTTCACTGTATAACATTTTGAGTTAATCAGCATCCCAAGTTGCGACATATGTAACAGAAATCAATAACTACTTTCTTGGTTATCTGACAATTGCATAATGCCTGCGTGAACTCTTACTACTAAGGGACAGCAAATTGCCCAGTCGTCATTATTGTTGAAAAGAAAACAATCGGCCAGTCAATCATTTGGACAGTCGATTTGTTGCTGATTCGTTTAATGATAAATTAATGCTAATGTGTGTGGATGTAATGAGAAAAAAGATTCAATTATATGTAATGAGATGATTAAATAAATTTGTTTTAAACATGCATTGTCAGTCACCTAGTTTGAGTCAGTTGCAAATAGACTGCTCATCAGTAGAGATCGGTTTTTCCTTCTAAGTACTTTACTTTCGATAGTTGTACAATTTTTGGAAGTAACAATTCAGAATGACGATAGCAATCCAGTAAACTCACATTTTTACTCGGAAAAACATAAAAAGAAAAATGCTTAAAAGTTAGGAAAAAACCGAGAGTGTTGAGTAAGAATTTTAAAAATTTACTTTGCTTCTAACAAGCCTTAGCTTAATCTTCCAAGTCTATTTTACTGATTTCTGTGAGAGAAGCACACCGTAAAACCTAAAAAAATTACAGCAGAAACGTAATATAAAGTGATATGTCTAATAGTATTTCCGTGACCGAAGATGTTAGTAATAGGGAAGAAGATGATGGTGATTTACTAAGCAGCGGTTATGTTGCCCGAGCAAATACGGGCAACAATAGTCGGCAACAGAATTTGGAAATAGAAACTTTATTAACCAGAGAGAGAACTCCGCTCTCGGTTATTATTACAAGTAAAACAGCAACAATGGCGACACCCTCTAAGGTAAAATCAATTTAAAATATGTACAGGGAAACATTTTTAGCTTTGTAACCTTCTTATGTACGTTTTGAAAATATCTATATGTGTTTTTGCGTGCTTAGCAAGATTTTTTGACTCAATGTACTTTTATCTTTCTATCTGAAACAGTAAATGGCGTATAAACAAATTGTTTCCTCCTCCAGTAAAATTTGGGATTTCAAACAAAAAAGGAAAAATTCCGTGAAATTATTTTTACTCTTAAATTTAATTGGTCCTATTTCTTAATGTGTTAATGTTACCTTGTTTGTATCGTAGGTAAGCGACATTATGAAAGTTTATTTTCAATACAGGAAAATATGGGCTAACTTGTGTCCGTATATGCTAGTACAAAATATTAATTCTTATCGCAATGAATTAACTAAGAGGAATATAAAATATAGCGCCGACTTGATTGAAACACAATTTTTTTCGAAACAATAAAACAGTAAATCCGATACAACGAGCAATGGGTTTCACTAAAAAATGTTATTAGGTAATTACAGTTGAAATTTGTATTCTATCAGTTGATAATGTACATTAGTAATGGTTCCGATCGAAAACCATAGTTTCGAAAACAAACGTAGCTAAACGTAGCTGGGATGTAAATACTGCGTATTTAAATGTAGAAAAAGAAAAGAAATCAACTAACGCAGCTTCTATGGCATTCTGAAAATTTTGATTTTTATGCGATTGGTGAATACTAGAATAAAAAATTTCCATTTTCCATCCAAAAAAGGCAAACTTCTATTAACTAAAATTTTTTATATTAACTTAACGAAAATACGCGGCTTACTGCATCATAGGATTTTTTTTTAAAGATATTTCTGATATATGTGCTATCTATCATTCTCGTTCTTCGACGATTTTATGTTTAAAATTGCCGCTTTTACTCCGTCTGTCAAAGACAGAATCGATTACTTTTAGTTTTCATATGTTGTAAAGTAGCAGAGATAACTGTAAGACAATCGATGAACTAGAACAGTCAATCACAAGAAAACGGTGCAAATCTGCAGATAAATGTGTTCTTCAAATGGTTTGATCGAGTTACCATAAGGCCGAACTAATACGGAGAAAATTTTAATAGTCGCAAATAACACAGTATTAGGATTAGACACGTTCCCTCCCCTAGCTACGCATGACGGCTTGAGGAAACCAGAATCTTTATTTCCCTTATATCCCTAACCCGAAGTCTATTAAGCATTTATTTACGGGATAGTCGATAGAAAATATTATCAATTATCATAAGTATCTGGATCATGTTTCCTTCATCCGTTCGAATCACCCTAACATCTATGAAAGCTAGAAATAATTAAGAAATCTATCTTAAGGAATCTGGCGAAGTCGTAGTTGAGCTGAAGAATCCACTCTAAGTTAATTAGCTAAAGCTATTTTAATGAAAATTTTCCGGTTGTTTATAGTATAAAAGACTTACGCGGATGAAAAACGTGCCTTGGTTATAGTTTGGACCAAAGTTTATAATGCACAGAAAAATAATGTACGGTTTTATCACGATGGTTAGCGGGCATTTATATAGTACTTTTTGTTTTCTGTTTGTACAAAAATCGAAGCTCGGTTTATCTATAGCTGCTTCTCCGTTTTGCAGACTTGTCGAAGGTCTAAAAGTTGAGCTGTGAAACTAAAAGCTTACTTAAAAGTAAATAGATTTAGTTTCAAAAGAAACTGAGGCCTACAGTAGGAGGATTGTAAGAATAATAAGAGGCTTTCGACGTTAATTAGCCCTATCACAAACGTACAGATCTAAATACTTTTCTTGTATCGTCCTTACGTTTATCGGTAAGCTTATACCCTTGCTGGAAAGGACAGTTCTTTGAGGTTCGTTAATAGGCATATAAATTTAGTTTTCGCACGAAAGTGTACATGGACATGCACGTATATGCCATCATTTCTTAAGTCAATAGCATTTCGTTTGGACTAAATATTGTTATCGTCTTTTTCCAATTTCTTTCTCCCGACACAACAGAATCAAATATCGTTAGAAAACGAACGTGGCTCGTGGTCGTCGAAACTAGATTTTATACTGTCAGTGGTCGGCCTAGCTATCGGCTTAGGCAATGTATGGCGTTTTCCCTATTTATGTTACAAAAATGGTGGTGGGGCATTTTTACTGCCTTACTTTATGACACTTATTCTAGCAGGAATACCAATGTTCTTTATGGAGTTGGCGCTTGGCCAAATGCTGACAATTGGTGGTCTAGGCGTATTTAAAATTGCTCCCATTTTTAAGGGTTTTGTATATGAATATTTCTCCCTTGTACATAAAATGTAAGAATTTTTTCTTACAAACCAGGTATTGGTTACGCAGCTGCCGTGATGTCATGTTGGATGAACGTTTATTACATCGTAATTTTAGCGTGGGCCGTATTTTATTTCTTTATGTCAATGCGTTCAGGTGAGATCCCTAGATGAATCGAAAAAGGTAATATTGTATTATAATTTAGATGTGCCCTGGAGATCATGTAATAATTCTTGGAATACGGAAAATTGTGTTAATCCATATGCACGCAAAGATCTCTTGTGTTGGGATGAAATGATAAACAAGTCTACAACAAAAATTTGCTCATTAGTGACGGGAAATATAACTGCATCGGAATTAACCGATCCGGTTAAAGAGTTTTGGGAGAGAAGAGCACTACAAATATCTAGCGGTATAGAAGAAATTGGTAACATACGTTACGAATTAGCTGGAACGTTATTATTAGTCTGGATTGTATGCTATTTTTGTATATGGAAAGGAGTCAAATGGACTGGCAAAGTAGTGTATTTTACAGCTTTATTTCCTTACGTGCTGCTTACGATACTTCTGATACGAGGCATTACTTTACCGGGAGCTTTTGAAGGCATCAAGTTTTACGTAATACCCAATTTTAGCAAACTGACAGAATCCGAGGTACGTATTTTTAATGCACTTTGTATTTGTAACCTTCATAACAAGCTGGTATAATATCCCCCTCACTAATCGAAATCGTGATTTTATCCGCTAACTACCTGCTGTGACTATTTACATTTTTATTATAACCGAGTATGTATTGGAAAGACATTGGTAAAGACATGTATATTCATAAGATGACTAGCAGTTTCAGACAGAGATCGCCTTTTTTAAAGACTTCACAAAAACTGAGGATCCTTTGTTTTAGGTTTCGATGATTATGAATATCGGTTGTTTCCTTCTTGGTCCCAATACTGAAATAGCATTGCGAAGCCTAGAACAGCTTTATGGTCAATTTACGCGTAGCCGCAGTTTGAATTCTTCATATATTTTCATTACAAAAAAGTACAAACTACTTATCGTTTCCGTCTACATACGTGTTGTAAGAGCTAATATAAGAAAGAGAACCTCACTAATGTGAGCTAAATTTACCAACAAAAAAAAATTGACTTTCTTGTCAATGATCTTACTATTTTTGATGCATTTTCATCATGAAGAACTAAATATTAGACTTTGTTATCTTTGCTGACTTCAGTATTGACAGATGGCAAAAACTAGTAAAGTTCACAGCTGCCTAACCAAGCCAATATTACAAAGTTAAAGAGGAAAAGAAATGAAGTAAAAGGATAGTTGAAAAACATATACGCGTCCGCCCTATGTCGCGTATTCGTGCATTACATGTCCAATATCCGTTTACTGGTTGCCCTCCTGAGTATGTTCTTTTAACATTAGGTACATATGTCGCTCCGTTGAGTCCACGTCCTCTTACCTGTATAATAGTATGTTAGTATGGCTTGCTAAAAATCCGCGCAAAATACAAACGTAAAACCATCACAAACGAAAAGTCGAAAATTACAACGTTCCAATGTTTTGTATATTCTTATATATACAAATTTTATAATCGGAGATTTCTACTTATAGATCGTTCTTCGCTATGTACATAATACACATAAAGTGAGTTCCAGCATTGTATTGCTTTGCATGATTAATGATGTAGGTTTAATTGAATACGTAATACTCACAAATAAATGTGTAAATAGTTAATGTCTTTGTATTGTTTCTATAATAAACTAAACTTCAAACTAAATGTTTATAGCTAAGAATAAAGCTTTTCTATTTTTCCCTTAGGCGTTTTCCCAAAATATTCACATACAATTAAATTGGTTCTGATTCACGAGGATTGACAAGAAACCAACTCGACCACTCAACATTTGAAAATCGCTTAGCTAAACTAAACCATTGTTGGCTTTATTTTGGCTGGTTTTTTTGCGAGAAGTTACGCATGTTCAACCCGCTTGCTTGCATATTTGCTCTACTGAATCTTGCACTTGTAATAAGGTGCCATAACATCAAAGAAAATGCGAAAAGATGCGAGCAAGTGCCTGCTACATGCATTGTACCCTTTTTAACGGATGTGTTCTTAGAGATAGAACTACCTAATTTGAGCTTGATGCAATAAATTTTTATATCAAATTATTGTTATGAACAAATTTTCTTTGTAATAACTTAGAAATTCAATGTTTTGGCTAAACAACGGCTTACTTTTCTTTGGAATTTAAAATGCCTAAGTGCTATTACTCGGAGATTTTGGTTGATACATTTTGAATATTGGAAATTAATTTTTGCATGACGGATTTTTCGAAATAATATCGTATGTGAGGTATGATCTTAAACAATGGTCCGATCCAAAGCAGCTTACATAACGTTTGTCTTTCGGTCAAACCACGTGAGTCTAGCAACTTTGGTCAAAATTCCTCAAAAACTAGTATTGTCTATTGAGCACCAAAATACGTGAACAGGCGTAAGATAGACAGACAACCTTCAATCGCGTCAGAAAATGGTTACGAATCAACGGGTATAATAAAATACGCACCTGTCGTAAACTTTTCTCGGAACTATATACAGTCATACAAACACAATGTATGCTGTACCATAAGAGGCGAAGGATGATAGTGACTTAAATCTAAACATTTCTTATGTATTTTTATTAGCAAAAAAATATGAGGAACAATGCATAACAGGTATCAGCTGCTAACTTGACATCAATATTTATTATTACCATCTCGAATGTGAATGTAGGAAGGCTTCTGATCAGCTTCGTGACACGTTTATAAGAGATCGATTTAATTTTTAACCGTCACGAAAGGATTGAAAATAGTTTGTGTGCTTTTAGAACCCACAAACCCACAATAACAACTACAAAACCTTTTAAAACTTTTCATAACAAAAATATCCTTATAAATAAAATGAAAACGCATTTAGTTGAAAAAGTGGTAACAAAAAATTGCTTAATTAAATAAGTTGCTCCTGCAAAACCGTTACAGTACGCTACCAAATATATATATATTTTAAGAACACAAAATAATATTATGTATAAAAATACACACGTATATACTTTTGATATAAATGCACTAAAATATGTTTCATTATCTAATATCACTTATTTTTAGGTATGGATCGACGCAGTCACGCAAATATTCTTTTCTTATGGCTTGGGGCTAGGAACGTTAGTGGCTCTAGGCAGTTATAACAAATTTACTAATAATGTGTACAAGTAAGTCAAACATGCATCAATGAAGTCTTAGGTATATTTCGTATAAACTTCTTTTCAGAGACGCGCTAATTGTTTGTTCTGTGAATTCCTCTACGAGTATGTTCGCTGGGTTTGTCATATTTTCGGTGGTTGGCTTTATGGCACATGAACAACAAAGGCCAATATCCCAAGTAGCCGCTTCTGGTCCGGGTTTGGCCTTTTTAGTGTATCCCTCTGCTGTTTTACAGTTACCGGGTGCTTCGCTTTGGTCTTGTCTTTTTTTCTTCATGCTTTTGCTTATCGGCTTGGACTCTCAGTTTTGCACAATGGAAGGTTTTATCACGGCCATCATTGATGAATGGCCACAATTATTGCGAAAGCGTAAGGAAATTTTTATAGCAGTGGTTTGCGTCCTTAGCTACTTAGTAGGTTTGTCGTGTATATCTCAGGTAAGTTTATGTATTTAGCTTTTGAAAGTAATATTTCTTATTATAATTGTTTCAGGGTGGCATGTACGTTTTCCAGATACTTGACTCCTACGCTGTTAGTGGTTATTGCCTCCTTTGGCTGATATTTTTTGAGTGTATTTCAATATCTTGGTGTTACGGCGTCGACCGTTTTTATGATGGCATCAAAGATATGATTGGTTATTACCCTATGGTTTGGTGGAAATTTTGCTGGTGCATTACGACCCCATTCATATGTGTGGTAAAATCGCTTTGGATTTCAGCATACAGCTGCAATTATGTCGTATATTCATCTTTTTTTTATGTAGGGTGTATTCTTCTTTAATATTGTCCAATTTACACCGGTTAAGTACCTGGATTATAACTATCCATGGTGGGCACACGCTTTTGGTATTTTCACTGCTTTGTCATCCATGCTCTACATACCTGGATATATGGTTTGGCTTTGGAAAGTGACTCCAGGGGACACTGCTTCGGTAAGCCTACTTATAAAAGATGCATCTTATCACTATTATAGCTCCTAAATTCGAGATACTTTCTATTAATAGCTATTGGGTTGCAGATTCGAATTACTTTTTTGAAAGAAGCCCCTTAATGAGAAGATCTTGCGAATTTAAATCAAGAGTTGTCGCTTCTTTTTTATAGCAATCACATGCAAGAAATTTTAATGTAAAGTCTTTGTGGAATGACCAGTTTTTTTCTGTATTTGCACGCCTTTCATATTTTGTTTGCTTTGCAGTGTCAAAAAATATATGCAATTTTTAACTTGTTTTCTCGTTTTAGTCATGAAACCTTCTCTATCTGTATGACTTTGACACTTTTACTTGTCATTGCATATATATATTTCCGACAATAACTTCGAATACTTCACGCATTAAAAGACGCATTTGTGAAGTTAACCAAATTCACAAAAATTAATATAGGAGGTGAAAATTGTAGATCTATTCCTTGAAAAAGTTCGCCGGCAATACAACCTAAGCCTGTTCTTTGTTTCTTAACACATGAATAAGCTTTTTGCTTGGTTTTAAATGACGTGGGAAATATAAAGAATTAAAACATGAAAACATAAATCGGTTCGTATCATATTTACGCTTGTTTAATTGGTCTTCGAATCTGAAATTATTTTGATAAAACATGTAGAATTAAAATGAAAATTGACTACTAAGTGGATGTACGACCTTCCAAACTTTACTAAATTGTAACTTAAGCAGCTGTCAACTTCTGTAACCCAAGTATTACCCTAGCGTGGTCTCATCAAAGCTGTAGGTGCCATAGTATATCTGATACGAAAACTCCAGTAAGTTTTCCAAAATTTATTCATCATGTCTGCCAACATCGACATGTCGGGTCCAATTATGCCGATCAATAAAGGACAAGTGGCCATGTGCGATAAAGCTTTGTAGACTGATTTTTCAGCAGTAACGGCCTATATTGCAAACAGCCCCGCTATGTTCACTCGCTATTCTTATACCTGATCAATTAATTCAAATGACCTAATATCTGAGTGAGTAGCGCTTCCATTCTTATGACGATATGCAACAAAACGGTGTTTATCTTGATAGTCTGAAAACAGTCGCTTACCTTTCAGCGGAAAATTTGCATTCAGTCAAGAAAAGGAAAAGTGATATTGGTTATGAAGATAACTATAATCAAAATATTTGTCACTATTGTAGATTTCTTCGTTAATCGGCGCAACACATTTACGGGAGTGAAACTGGGAAGTAATGAAAAATTAAGGTACAGTGAGAAGAGTTTTAGTTACGAATAGAGAAAAGTCAGACATTTTAAAGCAGCGCCCAAAAAAAAACATCTCTTCATACTTGGTCTAATAAATTTCGAAGGTTCTACAAACTTAACAAAAGGAATCTTGTAAATTGGTGTCATATACTAGTAATCACGATATGTATATGAAAAATAGGCTGATAAAATTAATAATAACTAAAATCTTACTTAATATCTAAGCTTCTTACGAAAGCAAGTATAACGTCTTATAACCTGACTTTGATCCCTTCCGGTAAGAGATTACATTTTTAAATGATCCCTTAAGATATGCATATTTTGCAAAAGTTCGAAATAAAGGTCCATTTACGGTCAAGTTTGAAGATAAAGTAATATCTGAAGTTAAAATCACAAAATTGTGTTACAAATTCATATGAATTTAGTAATACTACGTTTGCTTTTGGCAATTTTTCAAAGCCAAAAAACCAGTCCGGGGACGTAGTTTGATGGAATCAAAGGAGCAAAGCGTAATCAAAAAGTTCACTTCATTTAGTTGAAAGCGGACTACTGAAAACATATTCAATTTCTTCAAATATTTGTGATAACAATAAAAACTGCGTAAAAAGACTTTGGACATCTTATTTTTGTTAACTGACGTAAAACCAAAAAAAAAAAAAACAAAAAATACAGAAAGTCTTTATTGTATAAAGTGACTAGAGTTTAATTGTAAGAGTTTGGATAAAATGATAAAGGTAATACAGCTTCCGTTGACGCATTTATGCTAAGTATACTGATATGGTAAAAGATTTATATCTTTACTTACCCCAAATCTCGCCCTAAGCTTTGTACATGTATTGGACTATGCTTAAAAAGCTCTTGAAATTTTATTTATTTTAGAAAATCCGGACAATCGTAAGAATAGATGAAGACGTAAAAAGTTTACGTGAGAAGATGCAACAAGAGACCACCAAACAAGCAGAAATTTATAGTCTGTAGAAAACTGTTTGAAGCGCAAACTGAAACATTTTTTTGCATCGGTTCTTTGATTACATATTTTTTATTTTATTTTTAATATTTTTTTTTTTTTAAATTTATTTGTATGGTAACGTATACATTAGTTTTCTAAGAATAACGGTTTCATATTTTCTTACAAACTCTGCATTTGAGATGCCTGTCTTGGTCGACTCATATGAAAGTCTACATATTTATATAATTTTCATTCCCTTTTTGTAAGTCCAAATATTTTTTGCAAGTAGCATTTTCAATACTAGTTAACAGTTTCCAACCTTCACATATATAGTACTTTACAACTATAATCTAATCTTACCTAACTATAAATTCTTTTTACATTGCTAAAGTACTCATGTAAGTTGTATTGCTATTACCGGTCAAATTTTAATTTTTCGAACTTTGGTAATATTAAAGACATTCTCGCTTGATTGAAAAACTATTCTCGCTATTAATGTTATTAGCTATAAAGTACTGATTTTCTTACAGTATTTATTTACAACACATTTAATTTTTTTATTTCTTTCTCCTTGCATACATATACATACATTCATTACTAGCGCATGCCTATTTTGAAATTCTACAAGATATATATATGTAATTTATTTTTGGGCTCTTACTACAACAGCTGTTACGTACAAATAATTCTTTAAAAATTTATGTGCTCGGCTTATTATAAATTATAAACTGAAAATGCAATTAAAGACGTATATAAATAAATAAATATGTGTAAAAAGTTACAAAAGAATGCAATGTTTTAATCCCCGGAATGTGATTAAGATTTTTAGAAGCTTGAACGTAAATTTACTACCGCATAGTGAATAGATTTTAGCGTTTTCTTAAATTTGGAGTTTTTCGTGAAATTAACTTTGTTAAAAGCGCCTTGGTTACATTCAAATTTCTTTCACCTGATACAATTTAATTTGCTCACCTAATATTTTCCTGTATGCTTTTAAGAATATTCTTATTTTTGAAAATTTATAAAGCCCCATTAAAAAACATAATATTACTTAATTGCTTACAATATTGATATCAATGTTCTTTTTAATTCATTAATATTGTTGCGATAAAGATTACATTCCAAATAAATATATTTTGCATACATTGACAACTCCACAATAAAAACAAATAAAAATATATCGCTTAACATAATTACTCGTTTATTTTCGTGGTAATACATCAAACATGTTACTTTCTAGTTATGTAAAGGCATACTTTCATGAAAGCCCTTTATTGAAGCATGCCGAAAACGTCAGCGGAGATAATCCAAGTTTACCAAAGGCAGTTTACGTGTTAAAGATTGTATTTTTTATTGACATGTTTTGGTCATTAATCATTACAAGTCACAGTTTGTTGTGACATAAGCGCTTACTTTTCACGAAAATTCATATATATGGAATACGGTTCATATGATTCAAATTTATTTATAAAATATTAAATATTAGACTTTTTGGCATAGAAGAGTTTATTTTTCATTACTATCCTTATATGTTTAATAGGCTTACTTGAAACGAGTTTAATTATAAAATATCAAAAATTGGAGATTTTTGCTACACAAAGGCTTATAAGAACCGTTATAAAAGCTGGGATAAAAAAATTAAATCCATGTGAGCCAAATTCGGTAATATTATTTTTTGTAACAAACTACCATTATTCAATTATTTTTATCATAAAGTATTGAAAATTAGACATTTTTAAGCATTCTAAAAATCTTCATATCAATTTAGAATGCCCCGCTATACTATTGTTTATCGATTTTTGCATAGCACGACTTTTCAAAAAAAAAAGGCGTTATAAAGAAAGCAGTTGAAAAAGTGATCCGCTTTAATCTGTTTTCAACGGGGTTTGTCCTTGATCCAAAACTCCTGCGGGTGGAAATTTCATCAAAAGAGTTCATTAATTACGAACGGTGGATTGAGCAAGAGATGGACGAACATCAGATAAAAGGAAAAACGGACAGATAAACAAGTTTAGGAAAAGAATGAAAGGCGTTCTATGTAAAAATAGGTGGGTGTATCTTCTTCTGCAGGGCCTATTCTTCTCGGCGTTACATATATCTACATGAACTTTATAGACGCTGTACCACATAGGGGCATAGGAGATAATTATTAATCAAAAAAGCACTGAATTCTATGGTTAAATCAATAGTTACTAGAATTGGATACATTGTTTGGTACACTGAATCCAGGGGCCGGTTAACGGTTCTCGAGTTCAGTGTTCAAAGTTAGTTATATTGTCGAAAGAGTAAATTCGCTTGAAGTATTTACATACTTAAAATAATACATATTTCTCTAACTCTGTGTCATTATAAATCCAAAAATAAAGAATATTAGAATTCATAGAACGTACATGATGTACACAACGAAGGAAAATTTACAAATAAAAACTTCCAATTAAAGTTGAATATCACAGCTTGGCTTGTAACATAGATTGTATATTAAATAACAATCATTAAGATCTAGAAGAAAAGGCAATCGAATACAAAATTTAACCCAAAATGAGTTCTTGTGGAAAACCTGTAGGAATAAATAATATATCAGAAAGTTAATCCTTTGCGTAATCCTTGGATTACCGACCTGGGTTTATATAAAAAAGCCCATTGTACAAATTGATACGTCTTTGGTCGAATACAACCCCTGCACTACACTTCCTAATTTTTGCGAATCGATGAAATACTCAGTAGTGAGCACCATATAACCAAATCATTTAAGTTAGTTTGAAACTAATACGAGTGCGATTGCAACGAAAAGGAATATAATTGTATAAATCATCAGCGTACAGATTGCGACATGGGTTTCACGTGGGTACCTGCCTTAATGGCTTAACCCCACGGTGGCCCAAGCCACGCGGATTATTTAAGAGTAACCCACGCTCTCTAGCGAATTAGACAATCCCTACAAAATAGGGGTCAAAGCAGCACCATAGTCCAGATTGTTTATTGTGTATGGCTCAATGAACCAGCTTTGGTCAGTATTGAGGCCTATCCGCACCTCGATTTGTTCCATTTTGGCTTGGAACGTGTGAAAACCACGACTACCACAAATATTCCCCGAAGGGCCGTACCCAAGCAGTCAGGGCTCACAAATTGATCAACTTTCTGCGTTCAAACGGGAAAAGGCGTTCGTTCCACCGTAGTTTCTACAAAGCGCACAGTTGATCAATTACCACCATTAGCCGCAGACATCCGTGAATATATAATTTAAAGTGTAAAATAAGCAAAAGGGCAAGAAAAGCCTACCGTCAAATCCATTTTATATCGTTCATATATATAGTTAACCCATATTATTTTCAAGGATTTATAAAACTGTAATATGCGCTTTAGCGGCGCATACAAAGGCAATAGGACCAAAAAACCTTTTAATTTCAATTCAAATTCATTTTAATTTACCATCAGCGTACAGATGTCTCTGAGGGTTTAACGTGAGTACACTACCGTGAAGGTTTAACGCCACGGTGCCCGATCGCACACGGAACGTGAAACACTCGAACTCCCCGAGGTTAATAATCCTCGCAACGGGTTGCGATGCAACTCCACACCGAGCAAGAGGCTCTTCCCGCGATTTTTTGGCCAACCACAGCCACCACGAAACTCCCGCTATGGGCCGTTTCCGTTGTCAGGCCAAAGCAGGAGGAAGTGCTTTGGGCGCTCCTGACGCCCGTGGTACCGGAATTGAGAAAAAAAATTTAGAAATAATTTATAAAAGTCTCCGGTCGGACTTTCTAGGCCCCATAAGATCCGCACTCGGCATGAGATAGTCATCTGAAGGAAAGCAGTCTATACCATGCGCATAGGCATGGTATTCTCACTGGGCGGAGCGAGGCCTATCTCAACCTCTTAGGAAAGATAATTGTGGACAGAGTCCGAAGACCGAGTGTACAACAATAGCGATGTATGGGACACGTGGAAATGGATTTCCCCACATCACCAACCAGAAAGAGGAAGTCTCTGGTAAGACTTAAGAACTCCATGCAGTTCCTAACCCCCTCTTTTTCAGTCATTGTCACCGTACAAGAAGAGCACGGACGAGGATCAGACAGAGTTGTCCAGATCAAGTCTCTCGGCGCTGCGTCTGATGAATGCCTGCGCAGCATACGCTCCTAGAGCTGCCCCCGTCTCAGAAGTAGAGAGGGCCAGACTAAGGTCAAAGTTCTCACCCGTCTGTCGTATACACATTGCTTCCAAGTCTCTAAAATCCGAATACTTGGAGCATTTACAGAAAACGTGTAACCAATCTTCGAACAAGCCACGTAGGCAAGCCCTAGTTCCCGACAGACCTCTCTTATGCAGATATGCATTAAGCAGAAATCCCGGATGAAGTCTAAAACTAAAATCTGGATGTTTTTCCATGTACGAGACATCACGGATAAATTCAAAGGTCGTTCTGCCTTTCGAACTGTTTTCCCAACGGAAACCATCAGCGTACAGAATTTGTAGCAAGGGCTTACCGTGGGTTCCTGCCTGAAAGGCTTAACCCCACGGTGGCCCAACCCACTTTAAGCGTACTACGCCCCCTGGCGAGTTAGACAATCCTCACAGAGTAGGGACCTAAACATCACCAGAGTCCAGAACGGTTTATTGTGTATGGAACAATAAACCCCACTCTGGTCAGTGGTGAGGCCTAGCTGCACTCGACTGTTCCACTTTGGCTAGGAACTTGCCAACCACAACCACCACTAGTATTCCCCGAAGGGCCGCACCCAAGCAGTCAGGACTCACAAATTTATCAACGATATGCGTTCAAAAAGGGTAAAAATTGCGCTCGCTTCCGCCATAAGGCTTCCACGGCGCCTTTGATCAATTACCATCATTACCCGCAGGTATCCGTGACATATGTTCAAAAGTAAAAGTAAGGCAAAAGGGGAAAAAGCCTTTCTCAAGTAACCAGGTATTGAGTGAAGAGCTCATCTTCCAGCCAACCCCTCCACCATCTCTCAGAAACTCGTCGCCGAGGTACTAGCCCAAAACCTTAAACTCTTCTTAGCCGGCCGAAACCGTTGCCCGGGGATCACCACTGGGAGGTGAGAGTTTCGGCACATCTATGCTCCCATTAAAGCATACTTTATCTCAATAAGATTTGGTTGGATGTAATCACCGAAGGGAGATCATTACCGTATAAATTTAATAAATCCATTTCGCTAAGTAGAAAGGCAAGCCAAAGGCATGGACTTTAAAGATCAATAAGTTATGATGGAATGACATCAGGCTCAGGCATGCACAATTATGTAAAATGTCGTTTTCTGAAACGACCAAGTTAAGAATCGAAACCGAGTTATTTACCGGATGTGGATAACAGTTGACAGGTAAATCGGAATCAGCAGTTAAAAATTTCGTCTGAGGTATTCAGCAAACAGGTTTGAGGTTTCAATATGACCAAAATACTCAGAGCCATTGAAAGAAGCATGCGAGGGATATATGTAGACTTTTCTTTCGGAGTTGACAAACCTTAAAAAATATTTAGGACTAAAAAGCATTGGGGTATGTAATGAGTAAGAAGGACCTTAAGTAACTGCTGAACTCAACTTAACAATGCCTCTATACTTATCCACGGGATGTCTGTTTTCATATTTGCAAAGTGGAATAAGGAAACTACTATTTCAATACATAGGTATAACACCTGATTTCATAGAATTATTACAAATCTTTGAGATAGGATCACTTAGTTCGCTAAAGCATGATTTGAGTATACACGATCAGACCCAGACGCACAACTATATACTTTGTCACATGTCATTTTCTACAATCTTCAAGTTCGGAATCGAAATCAAGATTGTGATGTGGTATGGATAATTATCAGTTAAATCGGAGTCAATGGCTAGAAAATTTTGTAGGAACTATTCAACAAAGGCAGAAATATAGCAGAAATATAGCGGAAAAGCGGATTTACGCGTATATAAGCCGAAAATTTGCGCAAGGCAAAATCAATCGATTGACTCCAAAAGTAAGTCGAAACTTCGTCGAGAGAGTTGTGTTGCAATATTTGAACGGACAAGACCTGAACGAAAATTAAAACATTGTTAATATAATTTCTTGCATATAATCTGTAAATAGATTTTCTAAGAATTGCAAATAAAACCTAGACTATTCTAAAAATCACCATTCAGTGGTACGAACTTTATTTTGAAAAGAATTGAATAATAACGCAAAGTTCACAAAAGACAGTTTGAATGAGATCTAAGTAGAAAAATATTGGCCTTATTAAAATCATATTGAATATTTGAGAAAGTCGGATTTGACATGTTAAAGTTAATTCAACGGGCTACTCTGCGTGTAATGAAAGAATGTGAAAATTTTTGGATGATAAGGATTCTCAGGAAACCTAAAAGAAGGTGGACAGAACTTTACAACTACGCCAGGAACTTGAGAAAGCAAAGATTTAGCAGTATGCCATTACCATTACAAGTACGATTGTACTTCGATTGGCTTCGATCAAAACACCGTAGCTCTTTTAGAGTTGAAGTGAGGACCATACCGACTAAATTATGACTGCAACCACCAAGCGACTTGTCTCAAATGAAAGTCTCCCAAAACTATGACCGTATCAGTGGCCATTGACGTTTCGGCCACATCACAAATAAGTGCAATATGTTACTTATAAGTAGAATGGCAATAGAGTAACAATAAATTTAAGGTCGGGAGGAGTAGGAGATTCAAATGAGTAGGACAGAAACATAGTTGATATGGCTATTAAAGCATCACCACCATTGTGATCTAATCGATTCTGAAAATCTTAGGGAAGAATTGTGATAAAGTTTCGACGAATGCAGGTCAGACTTTAAATTAAAATAAGTGAAAATGAAGTAGGAAAACTCCGTCCTAACTGAATTTTGGTAAGTAGAACGAATTTTTGGGTTTAGGCTGATAACATTTTGGTAAATTATAGTTTCTAGGCCTGAGGAAAGCCTTAGTTTTCCATGAGTGGATGATGATCGAATTATGCTAACAAGCATGAAAGTCTTTTTCAACGTAAACAAAGGCTTAGCTAGTGGATTGCTTAGCTTCAAATTTGATAATACAGTGGCGAAAGGTGCGTACTAGCTGGTGTGTACTATGATATTGACTTCTAAAATCAAACTGTTTGTTTGGAATAATATTTTCTTCAGAAATTGTTTCTAATAATTTGCCTTTACTAAAGATCTTACTTATGCAGCTGAAGGGACTAATGGGTCGACAAGTGTTAACATCATTTGGTGGTTTCCCTAGTTTAGAAATGGGAACAGCTGATTTTCAAATGTCTCAAAAATATTGGACTTTAATGCATGAAGTAAGAAATCCGATCCTTTCATGAAAAATACATTTGAAAGCTTTATTTTCGATATCATTCATATCCAATGAACATTTAATTCTTCTGAGACATGAACTGAGATTGAGTCTAGTCACAAGAGACTTTATGAATTTCTAGATCTCTCTCTGCAAAAGCCTGTCTTCACTACGTAAAAAAAGTCTATTACCTCGATACTGAAATGACGGAAATGTGGATCAAGATTGCAAGTTCTCAACTTAACTGGTGCTTTACGTCATGCGATATATAAATCCAATTCGGATGAAGAAATTTTTGGAAATATTTTAACTAAATTTGACAAACTAGACATATATCAACACTTTTGTTGATTAAAAGAACGTAAACTTCAATAGATTTTATGCGGACAGTACGGCGGTTCCAAAAAATGACTTTAAGCATAATTATATCCATTTGAATCTAAATATTTAATAGCTAATCGCTTTCTTGCTGCACAATGTTCCTGCTTTGCTTTACATGTCTTAACATTATTAATAACATTAATAACAGGCTAAGCGATTTTATTTTCTGTGAAAATATCAACATTACCATTAAGCACTGAAGCAATGATAGTCTATGTTGCACATTCATTGCAGTGTTAACATGATCTGAGTTGCTGCTATCACGTCTTGCACTAGTCGTATAATGTATTACTTGAAACATCAAATTATTTCGCTTCATGTAGAAATGACCCGAACAACGGTTATTTGGGGATCCTGATCTTTGGGCAGAGTTTCTATTATTCAGTTTGTCTACTATTTGTAGATGAAGAAATTAATTGAACATGCGCTGTCTGCGGAGAAATAATTCCCATCATGATTTGCACCCCTCACTATGTCAGCAGTCTGATGTTTCCCAGTGCAAACAGCACATTTCGGCTTTATGCGCCAAGACCGTTCGCCATGCCCGAATAATTGGCAGTTTCGACATTGGTTGTAGCTCTCTCTAGACTATGTACACTATGTACACTTCCTTGAATAGTTGTGGTAACCGCGTATCTGAAAATTGGTTTGTTGTTTCGCTTTTTAGATCCTTCTATTTTAGGTATGAAGCAGGTATTCTATATTGTTCGGCTGTTTTCGTTTTTTGCTTCATATATACACAGAAGCTGTTGAACGCACCCTGTCAAATCTGTCAAATTAGACGAAGACTTAATAGAGTAGATTTGCCGTTAGTATTGCTATGGTTCAGAATTCCATTTATAATTAAAAACAATTGTAGTAGTGTAGTGAAACTCAAATATATATTCCGTTTGATAATTACTTTCACATTTTGTTTATTGACTTCTATAATATATTGCTCTTTTAACTGAAATGTGGTCAGTGTCTTATATAATAAATTTTTGTTCTAACTTAAGCAAATCGTTAACTTTCAAACTAGGTTATAACTAAAATTTCACAGACGCAAGTTATCTTAATTAGGGCAGTACATTTAATGTGGATTATAACTAAAGTAGGTTAACTTAACTGGGTCATAACTAGGTTTAGGTTATGTAGAAATATAAGAAAATGTAAACTTAGCCTAAGTGGTTAATAAGTGAATAATAAGTAGAATACGATGAATCGATAATGCTATAGTGGAAAAAATAAAAACAAAAACATATTACTCATTCACTTGGTATTCAAATCGCGTAAAGAATAAAAAAATAAATTATTTTACTTACCAACTTTATATTTAAATTTTTATTGGCTTAAAATCCGAAGCCAAGCACTTAAATCTGATCGCACTGAAAAAGCATCTGAATAAGCACTGAAGTTGTATACTACCGTTAAACTGGATATATAAGCCATATCTCGCCAGCTTAGCCTATACTTAATCTACTAAAGATAAGGTATTCTTAAAAAATAATCGTTTAGTTTCAATCAATATATTAATATTAGGCAGAATACTCCAAAACACTATTTTATACCATTTGATTAAAGACGACTGACGTTCGCGACAGTAAATTGTTATGAGAACTGTGACAAGCGGCTTTTAAATGCATACTCCATGGATCAAGATAAGATCGATGCTTTAAGGAGAACGTATATAATAATGCAGCTTCAGGATGTTCAGTTTAAATATTCATTACCACGAATTTTGTTATTTTTGTTTTCATAATATATTTCATAACAGAAATAAATCTATACATACATAAACAATACATAAAAAAAAGTTACTCGTTTCACTGTTCAAAGTTCTTTAACATAAACCGGGAATTTCGAACTTCATCTACATAAAGAAATGGAAAAATTAGAAAAAGGAAAAAAACTGAAATAAAATTAATTTGATCATATTCTAAAAAAAATTGGAATAGAACCATAAATTCAGATGGTATTAGAAATCGCATGGGATTTGGCGAAGAAACTAATCGTTCCTCTTCTCCTTCCGCTATAGTAATGTGGGATTGAATGACTTACCTTGCTCAATTTTCTTCTTTAACACTTGGTTTTGTTCCCTCGTTAATTGTTGTGGCTCCTCTTGTAAACGTTTCTCATTGTCGATTTATATTCGAGGCAAATCAAGAGTACCTGATCGCGTCTTCTTTCTTTGGTTTTCTTCTTGCTACTTGGACCTAGCAAAAAACCAAATGTTAAATCTTTTAAATAACGAATAACGTATATGTTGTACCTCGCATTCCTTAACTATGCTTCGCATATCATCCTCAGACAAAAGATTTCTTACATTGTCGGTTATAAACACGTAAAAAGCTATTAAAAACCAACAGAAACTTGTACGTTAAGAATTTACTCACTACTCATATGTTCCTCCACTAGTGAACAAAAACGCATCGCTTATGAAAGATTTGAACAGAGCGTCAAACTTAAGTGCGTCTTTAACCGTCTCGTCTGCTATGCGTGTAAGCTTCGCAACGCTTTCTCACCACATTGAACGATACGGTCAAGTTTTGTTTTATGGCGCTTTGCAATTGCTACGAGTTTAGTTTAGAAAAGTTAAAAAATTGTATTTTCAACGTTTTGAAAATATTAATCACTTGTAGACTTTGAGAAAATCTTCAATAATTAACACAGCACAAATAAGCAAAATAAGTTAGTGATTATAATTGACAGTATCAGTCTCTCTCTTCCGCGAAACTACTACTCTCGCTTCCTACGATTCTTCATCGCTATGAAAATTCATCGATACTTGATTTGAGAAACAAACTGAATTAAAATCTAGACTAATTGAATTGTATGCACTACATACAATTAACGATAAAACGGATTGTGAATTCTTTTAAAAACCACATTGACGAGATGAAAAAGAGAACAATGGTTCCAAAGAGATATTTGAGATATTGAGACACTGAAGAAAAAGTTCTGCATTTATGAGGAAAATCTTTTAAGAACAGATAACGTAATGGTTGTGTGTGATTTATTTATTGTAGTCACATTGTGCATTAAAAATGAAAATGATAAAGAACTTATAAAATTGAAATGGGTATTTATCGTATAAGTAGTAATAACAACAATTGGGACGCACCCATAATTATTGAAGTAAATACGTGATACGAAAAAAATTACTTAATGAAGTAAATTTCTGCTTTGAGCCCAACAATAAGGCTCAAATGAAATTGAAGCACATTGGGTTAGCCGTTGATGCTAAATTTTATATTAGTGAAGGCCTAACCATTCTTGTCAAACGCCTACAGGCTAGAAGAGCATAATAAAATTCAAACTGTACGTGTTAGTTGGGAGATTGTCCATATCAAGAAACTTGATAGGGATAAGCACATACAAGTAACAACCTCTTAACCTTAACTATAACACAACCCGAAACCTAAATTGTAAAATATACTTTCAACGGTAAAGAATACGACAATATAAGCAAATATTAATATAAACTTAGCTACAGCAATAACAATAATTACAATATTAATCACAGCTACAACAGAAGGAAAACGAAACTGGTCATATATATAATACCAATTTTTGGCTCGAACTTCTATCATATTGTACTACGTATTTTATTGTGTCTATTCGTATATTTATAGACATGTTTCCAAAGTTTTTGCGCTGTCAGCCAACAAAATAAACAAAAAGAATAGACAACCAAAATTTATTTATAAAGTTGCTTGCTTAATTGAGTTACTTTGCACCTTTTTGAATGATTATTAGATATAGTAATGTAGGCAGTTCCAGGGACAATTCTCATTGTATGGTACGCGTCTTGGCTAAGCAAGAAAGAAGACAAAAATTTCTCGCATTAATGTGCAAAAGTTAAACTGTAAAACAGACGAGTTTCAATATATGTTTCATTATTCAATTACCGATGTAATATGTATCTCTGAAATCTAGATTAACCATTATGTTAAGAACACAGTTTTTAATATAAATGGCTATGCACGGTATCGAGTTGATCGTTTAAGTTATGATGGTGGAGTTGCAATTTATGTTTATCCGACCGCCAATCCGGTAAAAAGTACACGTATTGAAAGCCCTATGAAAAACAATGACGCAGACGAAACTTACGAGATATCATGATTTTATTAATTATTTATAAAAAATTTAATTATAACGTCATTGCTAATAGCTATCTCAACATTAACTACAAAAAATCAAAATGTATAATAAAATAGTAAACAGTTATAAAATGTACATTAACTTACAATATAGTATGAACAAATATCGGAAGAGTAAATCAAAGGACCAAAACGTGTCGTAGATTATTTCTAGCTGCCCTTTGATGGACGTTGCTTATGAAGTTACGAAAATATTTCTGCTGCCCAAAGTTGTACGGTTTAATTGAGGAGTTTGTTGCTGTAGTTTAAGTTGACTTAATTTTATATAAAAGCATGATTTACACAGTGTCTATAGTTGATTATACTGGATTTTAAATCAGTTTTTCTATCGTTACTTGTTTGTAGTTTTGTTTTCTTGGAGAGCTTTCACTATGTTCACCAAATTATAAATACGTTTACTTTTGTTTTTCAGTACGAAGAAATTTAGGCAAAATTATATATTTAGTTAACAGCTTCTCAGATTTTACATCATCAATATATTACCGGCCATTAAACGAACACACTCACCTCAATGTTGCCTTGATGTTTGTATATTTGCACGCTACTAGCACACGCTATTAAATCAAACAAACAGCATTTCGTATGGGTTAGAATGCTTAAGTAAGATACATGGCTTCAATGTGGTTCTTGTTGTTGAATAATCTCTTATTTTTGTTATTCTTTAAAATCGTTAAGTTGATCAATATTAATTTTGCTTTGAGGTTTTTGAGAGATTTAAGCACAAGATATATGTAGTAATTAACTGTTGTTTTCATGATGTGCGAAAAATGGTAAAATGTAGGTGAATATTAAATAAGCAGGAGAGCGTTCACGGGATTCTCATGTAAGATTGGTTATAATTTTACATTTCTTCAAACTTATTTTTGTTACTTTTGCTGTATTACTTTGTTCCATTTCAAAACTTCAAATTATCAGCAAACACTCTGTACAGTTCATTACTTAAGACACTTAATTCTTGTATTCTCTTCTCCTTCCAGTTTATACATCAATTAACACATTTCAGATAAACATATAAGTTTTGTTTGTGTTTTGATGGAAAGATGTATGAACTCTCTACAATTTTGATGGGTGTGTAAATATTAAGTCCAAGCTCTCGTAATCGGTTATTTTTTTTTTACAGAATAAATAGCGGCAATAATTTACTGATTATTACACATGTAAAAAAGGTGTAACGTCCGCGTACAAATTTAAGGTAGGGGATCTGACTTGTGTTTGCGGGATTTGGCTTGTGTTTGTGGTTGGTCTTTTTTTTCTTCAGCAAACACCAGGAGAGGAAGGTTCGCAGGAGGATAGAAAAAGAAGTTACTCGTGAAAAGTTCTAAAGAAAAAATGTTCCAGAAAAAAAGAAACTAAATAAATAAAATGTAAATTTATTGCAAATTGTGCGAAATACGTAAAATTTAATTATTTAACAGTATATGAAATATCAAATTTATATAGAACTCTTTAAAATTCGCTCCAATAGCGCAAAATTGAAAATTTAGGTTTAATGCAGGAACAGTCTTTTTTGAAATATGTATATGGCAAATGTTTTTGCATAAAAGAAAACATGGAGTCGCTTTTTTGACTATGGAAAGAAATATTGATAAAAAAAAAAAAATATGTATATAGTAAAACCTCCTTATTGACGGAGGATACGTTCCATAAAAATGCCGCGAATACGGAATGGTAATTTATATGGGATTATAGGGGATACGTTCCTAAGTGACAAAATAAAAAAAAATCAATTTAATCGAATGCGATTGTGCATTTAGTTTTTCCCTCTTTAGGCAATTTGTTATTTGGGGAAATTACTTAGCTGAAATGAACTAGATTTGGGATTTTCGCAACAACAGTTTATTCATTGAGTAATAAGGTTCCTTTCATTCTGTTTGTTTACATTCTCAAAAATCGCGAATAAAGAAATTTATAGCCGCGAATATGGGAATTAATCGCATTTTTTTCATCCGCGAATAAGGGAAGCGCCAATAAGGAGCTTTTACTGTATTGTATTTTATTGAAGAGACTGCTATTCGTACATTTATGCTATTCGATGTTTTATTACTGTCCACTTGAAAAAAAAAAAAATAAACAAAAATTTTATTGCAAAGGTTTTTTCCTGAAAATTAATAATATCTTGCGCACCAAAGTGAAATTCATACAGAATTATGTCATACAAACTAAAAAATTTCAACCAGCAAACACGAAAAAGACATTAAGGAAAAAAAAATAAATAAATAAGCGACATTATAGTCAAAGAAGCCTATCAATTACCACACAAAGCTTGAAAAGAAAATTAACCCTTTGCACTCGACTCCGTTTCGGACATTACCTACCAGCAACTCGACGTCACTTTTTAACGAAAACGTACATCCTGGAAACGTGATATTATGCAGTATAATTTTAGAACCATGTAAGGAGTTGTAGTGAAATTTGTTTTATATGAATTTGTGGACATTGAAGAACACATATTTACAAAAAATATCAAAATTTATTTTTTATGATTTTCTACAGTATGGTAAAGTTTAAAGCAATTCCCAACATGCATAGCGGGTTGATTTGTACATGTTCCACAATAAAATTTTGTTTGCTGCCTTTCGCCTGGTGTTCTTCTGTCAGAACAGACAATACAATCTCGTTTTCTTTCTCCCACATTTGGAATATACAACTTATTATTCAGTGTATTGTTTGACAACGATGTAGATGGACGTGATCGAGATTCTCGAAAGTTACCTCTCAACCGCTTTACAAGACCTTTTACAAACTTGGGGTGTGTCATTGGTCTTTGTTGTTTTCTTTCTTCTGAGATTCGGTAAAGTATGAAGGATTTTATAACGCACATTTCCAATCCAAAAAAAAAAAAAAATGTTGTCCACCATTTCAAAGATTTCCGCAGAAAACAATACGTAGAGGCATATGGATCCGTAAGATCGACACTGCCCATATTTGAAGCCTTTTGAATACGAGTTTTGATTGTGTTATCGCTTCGTGTGTCTTTCTTCAAATAAAGCATCCAAAAGATTTGTAGAAATCTGTCCCTACTGAAAGTTTCGGAAGAAAAAGAAATTTTACTAACGGAATCAGTAGACCCTCTTCTACAATAACGGCGGTAAAAGCTAAAAATTCTTGCTGTATAAATGTCTATCTGGAACTCATCTTCACCACTGCTTACTTCACGAGATTCACCTGTGCTTGGTCGTTTTGGCATTTTTAGAAAAAAAGATTTTGAATATATTGTTATGAAATTCGAATTTCTACTTTAGGATTCAAGCCACTAGATCGTGGTTATTTTGTTTAAGAGAAATACACTTCAAACTTCTTTTTTTACAATTTTAGTCTTTACAATGTAGGATTATTCACAATTTATTTTTGGCAATATCTTTGACTGCTTAACGCAAATATTCTTTTTCTACTCACTACTCTCCTACACAACTATTCTATTTATATATTGCTTTTCTGGTACTCGTTCATTGAGCCATACTCTTGTAGCTTTGTACGCCTAATCCACTTTATCTACAATTTGCTCAACGGATCAGAGAAGTGTACAGTCCGTCGTGAACGCAAGTGCGCGCTCTTTTTGGACGTGTAAAACGGTTGATTTAATTATCATGCATCTTGTTAATTTTATCATATTTTGATTAGTTTTTTTGTGCCATTTTAGCAGAAAACTACAGGAGAACACGTGATTCTTAAAAAATTGCGGTGAAGTAATTTCATAATTTCATTGTCCGTAATCACTAACAAACTATTATGTCCCTTCAGAGGGGACAACCGAGTGATATGCTAGACTTACGTTGTCCCCTCAGAGGGGACAGCGGAGTGCAAAGGGTTAAGCTACGACAATCTAACTGGTTGAAAAAAAAAGCAGGAGAAAAGAATTACAAGCGACAGATTTCCGAAAAGAAAATTTTTATGAAATCAAATTGCAAGTTTAATTAATAATAAGAAATGTAATGTACTGTAAGAGAAGTTATGATTTATATACGAGTGTATTCTAACACAATTCAAAGCATATGTCGATGTTGTTAAAACGCAAAATATATGTCAAAAAAAATTCTGAACTAAAACAAAAAGGAAGACTTTTATTCTGGTAAAATCCTGAGGTTGCGCCCTATTTATCGTGAGAAGGAAAGAATTAAAATATAGGTATTGAAACGGTGAACGTACCAGAACGTACCGTGTGGTGTTCGTTGAGGTGGCTAAGCAAATTAATTACTACTTATTAACTTTCCTGCTTGACCTGCCACCTGCCTTACTTAGAACGGATGGCAATAGTGTAGGTATTGCGCACACATCTGCTTTTGTGAAACCTCAACAATTGGAGCAACCATCATGTGTCTCTCACGAGGATGTCACAGCTTTAGCTGGCGCTTCATTATCTCAACGTTCAGGAATTATTGAACGTTAATCAAAATGCCAGCAGTAATGAAAACAAAATTAATATTGGAATTGCTTTTGCACAAAAGATGTGTGGTTAAGTCCACCGCTGAAGCGGAGTATGGATGGGTGTACGCGCGACTGAAGGTAGGGGGACTGGGACCGGTTACCGGCAGACTAAGAAGGAACCAACGGACGGCGTACTGTTTATTTCCCTTATCTCAGGTTCAAAATTTTTTTTTATTTTTATTTTCAGTTGTTTTTTTTTCTTTGTGTTGCGGCACAGCAGGCCGAATAAAAATTTGCAAACACGACGAGCTATGCCCGTGACAAAGTGTGGTCGGATAACAACAAATAAGACCAGGAAAGTACTTTTAATCGCAATGCTTTGTTGTAAGTGCAGGATTTCACTTACATATTATCAAAAAAAACTATTTCACTATATCTATTTTTTTTTGTTTTTCTTTTTCGTTTTTTTTCCTTCTTAAGCTACTTTTTTTGTTTTCAATGGACATGGATTGTTTATTTACTCCATGTCGTGCGAAAACTGGCCCTGAATCTGAACGATTCATTTCTTGCTGGTTGTGTGATCGTTTTGGACATGCAAAGTGTGCTGGTATTACCGGCCGTGCTGCTGATGCAGTCCTTGACCCTTCTAAAGGTTTACGATGGTCATGTTCTGACTGTAGAAAGCGGGATATTGATTTCTACAAGCTCTTCACGGAGACGAGAAATTGTTTCTCAGATTTGAGCAAAAATCTCGGCTCTTTGTGGGAGAAGTTTGAATTAATCAAGACTAGGTTTGATGAATGTCGGTATATTGCGCAGTCATCTTCCTCTCCAGCTAACATAGTCTCAACGCGTAGCGTAGCGTGTGGTTCGTCACCTCCTAAGTCCGTTTCGTTGGTGCAAGTTAGCGATTCCCTAAAGGCTACAAATAATGTCAGTGTTTCTGCTACGGCTGAGTCGGTTGGTAACATAGATGTTACAAATAGTCCGAGAAGTCCTTCTGGCTTGAGCTATGCTGAAGTGGCAAGGGTATCTCCTCCCATAGA